ACATCGGCATTGAGTTGAGCAAGCCTGTGCATGTGAGGAGTCGAGTCGTTTGCCTAATTGGGAACCACATGAGTTTTTCTCAAGCATCTTCTACTTAGTTCGTCCTCCCGCTTTGCAAGAAAGTCGTTTTTGGGAGAAGGTTTTTTGTTTCTACTGGCCAGTATTCAAGCTTGAAGCATCCAAGGTACATGCCGTTGTGCAGGGCGTCAGTCGCATCCTTTTTGGCCTTCTGCTTCTCNNGGGTCAAATGTGCGATGTCAGGCAGCCCTGATTCATCAAGCTGCTCTGCCTGGGCAGCGGCGCCAGCAGAAAATCCAGTACGTTTCGCTGAGGCTGCGGCTGGCATGCAAGTTCAGTTGGGGTCCGTAACCCTCCCAAGGCACTTCCGAAGCTGTTCTTTAACGACAACATCGCATCCATCGGCCACCGGAACCAATCGGAGGCACAGCGCTTTAACATGCTTTAACTGTGCCGAAGCTTTCAATTTAAACTGCGGCTTGGCACGTCAGGAGCCCGTCTGCAAGAGTCTCCCCTCCACCAGCCACAAGCAAGTTCAGGCATGTGCCCCTCCGAACTCTGTTGCTACGACTGAGGTATGCGGAATGCCTCCAATTTCTCTCCATACGACCAGCTCTCTGGGTCGAACAACTTCCGTGCAAAGTTCATACAATCATTTCCTTCTAGGATACCCATTTCAATTTCACTATTCTCACTTGGAAAGGGGTTGGACCAGTTCTACAAGAAGGTGTTGCTGCAACCTACCCAACCCACCCCCCCCCCTCCTCCCCCCCACCCCCCNNCCGTGCTTGCACTACTCTGCAGGCTCCAAGGAAGTCTACTTGCTGTCTTCCTCCCACGACCTCTGGACTTCTGCTCCAAACATGCACCAATGCCACCGACGTGTCTCCCGTGCCCCCTGCCCCTCAGCAGCCGAGGCGGGCGGCGTAGCGTTAAAATTACGAAATCCCAATTCCAGAATGTGACAACGAAGGCCCGTATCTGGAGAATCCAAGCGGGTGGAGCAAACAAGCCGAACCTTGCCTCACCGGGTTGACAGAAAATGCCTTCTGATACTACTGACTACTGACGGTACCTGCGAGCACTGCCATATGACATGACTTCATGCTTACTTGAGCAGTAACACGAATATGTCGACTCTTTTGACGAAGGCTTGTTTCCAGGTGCAGGCAGAGACGGGGGGGTTTCTCAATGAAGCGGACGTCCGGGTCTTCATTGTGCCCTCATGGCTGTGTACCAACACAGATGCAACCGCATCGTGTTCCGTGTGGATCTCTTGACTGTTTCATGGCGCGGGCTGCAAAGGGAGACAATCAATGTTTAGGACTAGCCTTCGTGTTCTCCAAGAGAGACTGTGTCTTGCTGAGCGATCTGTTCCTGCTGGCTGCTTGCCCACGGTTGCGCAACAGCTGGCAATCCAGCGAAGTCCTTCGGGCAAATCCTAAGGTTCCAGCAGTTTCTTGGTGCCGAAACGGGTCATGCACATGGCAACAGGCCACCGACCATCTGTGAGTGTGCCCGCGCGTGTGCGCGCGTCTGTCTCTCTGTCTGTGTGTGTGTGTGCCGGTACGCTGGTAGCTGTCAGATCGAAACTCAGCACCAGACCGACTCAAACTCTTCGACATTGACAGCAGAGCCACTTTTGTGGATCCTCGGGAAAAACTTATCCCTCGACTCGGCACACAAATACATCTATCGCTGCATCTACATGTAACGAGAAAAGCACTCAGTACGAAGGCTTGCGCTGGCTTCTGCAAACGAAGTGATGCAGTGCAGCAGCCATGACATTCGCCGCTTCCGCTGGTTTATTGCTGCGGTGGGTAACGAGATGGACGTGTAGGTCGGCTGCGCTGTACCTGCCAGAACACAAACAATAAGCACCAACACCTGACAAATTGCAATCCATAAAATGTTCAACCAAGATTTGGTCTCATCTTGACGAGCCACAGCCAGAAAAGCCTGAGCCTCCGAATGCCTCGAAACAACACTCGGCCTGCCATTTGGTTGATCCCTGGCACGTCGTCTGCATGGCCCAGCATGCCCGGAAGGCGCAACCTTCTGTCGGTGTCACATGTGGCGCTTCTTGTGGGGTCCCAGTCTGTCCCTCAACCTCGCTCACATTGGGTCGTTCTCCTCCTTGTCTTCAGCACAAGAAAGTTTTCAGGTCTATCTTTTCTTTCGGTCTGTCGCACGCAGATACAGATTAACTGCATAACTGCCAGACTGGTCTCACGGCACGAGGGCTTGCGAGGGGACCGATCAGGGCCAAACTCATGTGAAACGATCAGGCTTCGATGCAGTAGACACTCATACCGCAAACGGCATGTTGAGCGAGAAGCCCCCCGAAATGCACATGTGTGTCATCCTTCATGATACGTAAGTCGCTCTTATCCATCCAACTCACACACTGGCACTTGACTTCAATAGACCACACGAGCACTTTAGAGCAGTATTTACATCTTGCAAACGGTGAACAAGCAGGGACGTTGTTATGAGCCCGCGCATGGATGGCCCCCCTTCACTTAGAAAGGTGCACAAACTCACACATCAAATGCCCACTCAGCCCTCCCAGCCACCCGTCCGCCCGCACCGCACTGAGCATTCACGTGCTTACTCACAAGCAAGCGCGCCCGCCCACGCACACTGTTTGACTCAGAAGCGAAGCAATCGTGGATCAATCCGGGGGGTATGTAATTACAGACTAACTCAAAGAAACTCCACTCAATTCCTATCTGCACGAATGTGCTCACATGGTGAGCTCTTCGCTTTCGTATTCATGTGGAGCATGAGCAGAAGCGATGGCCTGTAGTCCTTGGAGGTGCTCCCATGTTCCTTGAGCTCGCGGGAGGGCTTGAGCTTCTCCGGTGCGACAGACCTCTGCAGGGAAGTTAAGGGAATCCGAAGATCGGTCTTTGGCAGCGCCAAGGCTTCTTCGAAATTTCTGCATGCGACAGATGGGAAAAGCCACTTCTCAAACCTGGCTTGCATCCCAACTGCCCGTCGGGCATGGCGGACATTGTCGGGAGGCGCCTCACCTTCTCCAACTCACCTGAGATGCTGTCGGTGTATTGTGAGCAAAAACGCCAGGAGTATGATTTCAGGTACAGCCGGCTGCGCTGAAACCCAATCGATCAAAGCTTCGGAACCAGCAGTCAGCCTGCGACGAACCCCGAGTTTAGGGCGATGCGGCGTGGGAGCCTTCAAGGTGTCAAGTCGCCTTCCAGCAACTGCATGGTTTGCCTGTGGCTGGCGGCGAGCTTTGCCTTGAAAGCTGTGAGGCCTTCCAGAAGCCGGGCGGTCTCCTGCACCGCCGTGGACTTCTTGGAAGAGCCCCGGCTTTGCAAGCCGGAGTTTCTTGAGGAGCTGCGGCTGCGTGCGTGACGCAGGACGTCCTGGGCATGATGCGCATCACAGCTTTTGAGCAGGTCAGCAAGTTGCAGAAAGCAGCCAAGTGTCCGGTACAGCTAGAGGCTGCTCACAATGTTTTGCGGGAGGTGGACGTACATCACGATCCCCTTCGCTGTACTCTGATGAGAAGCCATTCAATTCCTGCTAGCGCCAGGTGGTGTCTTCCCAGGAAGCTGTGCAAACGATCTTTTCCTGCTTCGTGCTCTCTCCCGGTCTCTGTACATTAGTACATATATGTAGAGATGAGCTAGTCGACCGTCAGTCAAGTCATCGAGACCTGTCCTGATTGTGAGGCATGTCCCAGCCGTCGGGGTCCAAACCTCTGCGAGGAGCCATCCAATTAATAGCATGCAATGCAATAGGCAGAATCTTTGATCAAATCTGGACTTGATGGCCATGGCAATGTACACGTCTGCCCACTGCCCCACTCAATGCGAGCTGAGCGGGCATTGTGCAGTTTCAACCCTTTTAATCTTAAGCCTCCGGCCATGTCGTTCCATGTTTCGTATATTCCGCGGAAAATCGCCGGCCGCGCGTTTGCACGTCGACTGGTTCTACGAAAGTATGTGCGAAGCAGGAGGTGGTAGCGCAGGCTACAGTCCTACCAACTCCAAGAACCGACCTCAATAGTTCACACAAGGGAACAGGGAACAAGGTTTAGATGTACAGAATACCACTCCCACAGTCTGCGGCTGGGAGCTTCCCCAAGCGAACTGTCGGGAGATCTACTAAGGGAGTAACGTGGCTGCAAAGCACACACAGCTAAAAGCAATCGAGACGATCCTGGTCAACATTGGTCAACTTGTCGGCCGGATACATGGTATGAAGATGTATCGATTTATCCTCGCAGCGTTTCGAGCATCTCGCTCGGTGTCCTGTCGCCGGAAGTCATAATTCAATGACACCGGAAAAAGGGTTGCTGAACAAAACAATTCTCCTCGCATCTTCGTGAAGTTCGAACCACCGCCAAAACTTAGTAACAAAATTACTGAAAATTGGAGTAAATGCGGATTAGTGATCATCCGTAATCAATCAATTGTTACTCGAAGCATCAATCCTCGGTCATGATGTCCTCAGAAGAGCTTACCAAGCCCTCTGGCTGGGCGGTAACAGAATAGAATCATGATTGTGGTTGTCAGAAAGCTAATTTACTAGAGGGGTACAGGGATGCGGTACCACGTTCCCCAGTGACACCTGTGACTCAAGACTAAACCTTGAGCTCAATGGAGGGCACATCGCAGACCCACTAACACGGGAGCTCGGTGCGAGTCTCTCGAAGTGACGGCAAAGATTCGACTGATTTCCTTTCGACATCGTAGATCCTTCGAGGGGGCTGATCGCACTGATGCACAGGAGAGGTTGTAGAGCAGTCACAGGGTGATTTCATTCGGGTGGACGACAGGTGAGTTTGTTCGTTCGCGATGTTGGGCGTCGGTGTGAGAGTTTTGAGACATGCTGGACATTTCGACAGCCTTTTGGAGCGTCCTTCCGCCGATTTCGAGGTTTTGGTGTCAAAGTGGCACTTTGCAGCCAATGGCTTCTGAGCAAAGGCTGTCTTCGTGTAGCCTCCCATTCAAGCATTTCCGTCGGCTCAGGACACCCCTACCTCTACAACCCTTGTAAACTGAACTACGACCCCCTCAAAGGCGCCTGAAGCTGCGCATAGTCAACAAACAAACCTTGGGTCCTAGGTTCGCCTGAAGCCCTAAATGCAATCCTTAAGATCGATTTGACCATTGGGGTGGGGGGGCGGGGGGGGGGCTATGCACGTAGTTCATTCTTTGGCGAAAGATCCGATCACCACCACAGCATGCAAGAAGTCATGCATTTCATGAGACGGCTTTAAGCCGAGGACCTGCCTGCGGATATAATCTCAAAACTCACCTGAGGCTTGCGTCACCCAACGGGACTGCTGCATTGCCAACTAGTAGACAGCCTGAACTGGCAACTGCTATAATAACTAACTTGCACAGACCACCACTCTCGAACAGGTGGGTACGCTTCCTGCAAGCTTTGTACCTCGAATTCTGCAGCTTAAGTGTGCGACCAACCGTATGACCTGCGTCCCGGAACCTGTGCCCGGTATCCCAAACATCCAGACATACCTCTTTCCAACGACTTCACCTTCATCTCGAGCACATGTTGAGCTGGAGTCTTTTGGAAATCTTGCGACGGAGCTGTCTCGGCGCAAGGTGCTTCGGTGGGTTCCTTCATGTCTTTGACAAGCCAAGAAAAAACGCTCCAGAATGAATTGGCTGAATGCCTTTCACGAAAATACAAAAGTCTCCCGGGCTCTGCGAGTCTGGAGCCGTCCTGGCCGGTGAAGTTGCCCAGTAGCGGCATAAACTAATTCTTAATTCTGCATGATGCGGCGGCGACTGAGGATCCTCGTTGAATGCACAGCAGCCAGCTATGCTGCCTAAAGTCTCCACACTCTTGAAATGCGTTGGCTGGCTGCGTGTGAGATGGGAACAGTGTTGATGATGCCTTCAGCCCAATTCCTGCTCGGCACGTGGCGATTGCAGAGAACATGCCGCAGCTATGACACTTTGATGCATGGTGCATTCACGAATTCGCACGCAGTGTCCGAGAAAGCTGCCAGTGGCTGCAGTCGACTCGACGACCACGATCTGATACGCTCTGGACATGCAGCGAGTTCAAGCGGAGAACAAGGCCCGCTAACGTCCCTTTAGCATTTGGGTTTGCTATCGATTACCGGAAGAGGTCCATCCCGCTACAAAGTCTTCAGCAGCTTTCCTCTGTTCGTGACGGAAGCCCCGAGCTAGGTATGGAGGACAGCGAAGTAATGCTCGGCCTTTGTGCCTGGCTCACGGTTCCTGCAGTTCCTGGCAGGAGCACAAAAGAATGGATGTACTGCGCTAGCATGCCTTTGCTGCATGCACCGAAGCTGGAGGCAGCACTGCACCAAATATCAGTCCTGACGTTGCGACATACTTGCACAAGCTGCTCAGAATGTCGTGGATGTGGGAGAATTCATCGGCTGTGAACTTGCGAAGGTCCACAATGTCCTCGCACTTGATAAATGAAGTGGCTGGAAAATGACTTAGTACATGTAAGTTATCTTCAGAAAGCTTCTCGAACTAAGCCTTCACGATGTCTGAAATCAACGCACCACAGAAAGATTGTCAGGCTACTGCTAGTCGTACCGGCCTTGACGGTCGTCTGGTTGGAGCCACGCAAAGTGAGAATCCCCCGCATAAAGTCCCCAAATGTGAGTGGCTCACCGTCTTCGAAAAGCAGCTTACCTCAGTCACCACGATGAGGCTTCAGTTCAGTTTCCGCGTCCCGACTTGGTTGAAAGTATGGTGCCAATATCAGACGATGGTGCCAGTTACGGCTTGGCAGATTTGCTTAAGTCCAGCAGGCACAGACGCTGCGTGATGCCTCTGCACATGCATTGAACTATACCGCCCTTTGCTTGAGTTCGGTCTTCATCTGACCTGGAATTGCCACAGCCACGCTGCCATAGTCCAATGCAGCCTCGACATCAACTCCCAAGCTCGTCAGTGCCGTCATGGCCTGGGAAGAGGGGTGTAGAGCATGACGTGGCAGAAGCAAAAGCACGAACCCAACATTCACTGCAGTACCGTCTTCTGATCGTTGTGACAGAAACTCCCACAGTCAAAACAATGCAACAATTCAAAGACATTTCATGTTCAATGATTCAACGTGAATACCTCTCGCCTTTCTTCCCTATAGCCCGCATTTCGCCTCCGGCGTGTGGAGCACTTTGCGGTATTCCTGTTCAGAGATTCGGTTGTCTCCATCCTCGTCGGCATGTCCTGACAGACAGAGGCTCATCCATGAGTTGATGCGGATGTACTATGGTAAGCTTGGTACACGCTATGTGCAGACAAGGCCTTTGTCAATCATCTCCCATAAAACTTTCTTTGCAAAATCGACTTCCAGCTGCTCTCGCTCAATAGTAGACACCGTCTTTACCGCCTGCGCAGCAAGATCGGTTCGGAGCAATTGTTCACAGCATCTTCGGCACCACATGGCCCCCAATGCATCCCTACATTCATGTCTCTCGACGCCGATGCCTCGACCAGCACCCCGAGCAGCATGTTCATCACAGTCAAAGAGCCGAATAGAATGAAGACCAAAATCAAAGCCGCCATGATCCAACTCTCCTGGTGCTTGGGGCATGCGGAAAACCTGCGACCCAAAGTCTCGAATCAAGAACAGTGGATGTGCCCTGTAGCCTTTGGGACAGCAGTAGAAGCACGCTTTCCCTCGCACCAGGTCCTCTGCTACCGCTTCGATGATGAACTGCTGGTTCGTCAGGATGCATTTCCTTTTAAGTGTACAATCTGCAGACAGTGCACATGGCAATTCACCGGAGCACTTCCAGTCTGCTTTATCGGCTGCCTGTCTGCCGAGCATTCAAAGGATGCCAAGGCACAGGAGTAAGGTCCAAATCGCCGTGCCCATGGAGCCAAAGAAATTCGGTGACTCCAAGACGGTGTTCCCACGACTAAACTGCACGAAAGCCACGCCTGAACGCATTCGGGAAGCTTGTGCAAAACATCAGTGGGAAGCCTGATGAGCGTTCACTTGCAACACACCCTCCCTCGATCCCTCTCAGGTAGTCTCTGAACTTCGCCCAGGGACTAAAAACATAGGTGAACATCAGCAGCAAAACCAAAGTGAAGAACCTCAGCACAATCAGCATGACTTCACGAAGCATGCCATCAGCAATCTGCTTCTTCCGAGTCTAGCGTAGCGAACTGCAATTTCAAATCTTCTACCAAGGAACACAGAACGGCAAGCCACCATCATGCCTGAAGCCAATCCCGGTGACAAAGCTGCTGCATCGTGTGTCAACTTTCATGTATCTCTCTAGATTATAGGAGAAATCATGGCCCAAGTACCTTGGATAGGCTGGGACATTGCAGCTCAGATCCGGCCTTTGATCAGAATCATGAGCTCGGGCATCAACCGAACAAGTCGGGCCATCCTCGCCGTTCGCAATACACGGAGCACGCGGGCCACACGGAGGACCTGCGTTGCACCGAAACGGTCTCTGCTGTTTACCTCCGGCTGTTGCTGCTAAGGGGCAGAGGCACCCCCCGTCATGGTGTCACCCGTTGTCCGCGTTATTGCATGTGCAAGGGGTACCAGCCATGTCTCGAAGGACATCAGGGTGACGAGGAAAACGTCGAACAAGAACCAGATGTCCCGCAGCGCAGAGCACTTGCGAGTGTATGTCCATAGTCGGACAATCAGCTCGAAAGTAAAGAACAAGCAGAACAGGTTCTCTACCACGATAAAGCCGGCATCGGCTTCCGACAAAATCTCGGCCCTGTTGAACTCTATGTCGACTGATATCCACATCGCATTCAGGAAGATCACAGACATTGTGAATCTCTCGAAACATGGATGCATGGCTAATTGATAGCACCGCCCGGTGGGCTCCTCGCCACCTTCCTGTGGCTCGCCAAACTCAGCAGTAGCACGCTTGCGCACCACACTGCGGGCAAGTTCAGGATCCAGTTGTGTCAGCCTAAGCCCGACGAACAAGCAGCAAGCAAATTCAAAAAATCCAGCATTGAAAAACAACTCATCGCCGACAGGCCCAATCCGGAACCTCAGACACCCAAGGAACTGCCAAAGACAGGTTGCAACCTAAGCCAAGCAACATTCCTTTGTGCACTTGTTCATCGGCATCCTTCCGTATCTTTTCCTTCTCTTCTCGAGTCAAGTTCGCAACCTCCGTGCCACCGTCTCAAGCAACAAACAAAACTTCTGCGATATTCTGCTATATGTGGCCCTATCTGTGCAAGCTGGCCACCTCTGTCTCCAACAGTGATGGTACGACTTCCTGCCAAGGCCGCAATGGTCAAACAAGGGAATGAGTGGACTTACTAACTCAACCTCTGCAACTGAAGAACGTTGCACGAATGACAAGTGAAAATGTGACACTTGGGTTGGTAGTACATTGCTAAGGCAACTGCTGCTTTATGTTTTGCGGTGGCATGTGGTGGCAGTCTTTAAATCGGGACTAGGTGCTGGCGCCGGCACCGGCGGCTCCGCTGGACTCGTCCTTGCATTCTTCACCGTATTACACCTCGTCCTTGCGTCCTTCTGCCCCTATGTGCCTCTCTGACTCCGGGCCGAGACGATTAGGAAGCCAAGGCGGCCAAGCATCTTCTGAATCCAAGACATTCGGCGTTTGCGCTGCTTCTGCACGGCTGGCAGAAGCGCGAAGGGGGACGGAAATGAAAGGCGCTTCACCTGCAGCACTGCGCAGCCAACTGTTCGCTCTGTCGTCCAACGCAGAATACATAATTGGATTTTCTTCGGGCACTGCTCCAGTACAAAAGACCCTCTCATTTGCTCGCCCTCTAATTTTACACTGGCCGGTTGCTGTCTCTTCTCCCTCTCGACAACATCTGGCACGTTTCGTTCAGGCCTCGCCATTGGCGCTGGTCTGGCTCTTGCGACCGGCCGGGGCCACGACACCTCGGTGGTTGCATGACTCCCTCCAAGAATTCTCCATTCGCGAGAGTCCAATTTGCCAAAAAGCGATCGTCTGCATCTGTTTAGTAAACAGGAATTTCGTTGAGAAGCTCGAGCTCAAGTCCCTGAAGTGTTGGTTTCTTGAGACGGAGCTACAAACTAGGTATAACGTTGTACTCAACTGTATCAAAGAACGGCAAGCCGCGGATTTGTTTGGACTGCTTTGCTTCGTCGTGAAAGCTCACAGAAATGTTTGCAAGCCAGTACTACCTGCCGTAGCGAGCTATCTGGGTGGATCGCACCATTTAGCAGAGGTAGCGTGCATCCGAATTTCTTTGCCAAGGCCCTGACCAGCGCCAGAGTCACCTTTGATGCGGTCCAGCTCATCATCCAAGAGCTGCAGCATTTTCTTCTGGTTTGCGACGAGTGCGGAGCGGAAGGAGGTCAAGCTGTTCAGTGCTCGTTGGACTTCTGGGGCAGGTTGCTGAAAACTGCGCATGCGCCGGAAGCCAGCAGTTCCATGCACCGGGTGCTTAGATCTTTCGTGTTCATTCACTTGGACGGGCTCCAAGTCCGAGTCGGAGCTGAGCCCATCCCCAGAGGACTCATCGGCCCATGCCTGAGCATGTTGAGGTGTGCTTCGACAAACTTCTCCGCCGGGTCCGGGCCGTTGAGATTCATCATCTCCACCGAAAGTCTTCATCTTCAGATGTCTGTGCCAGAAAACGAGGGAAAAAGTGCACGTGGTCGTCAAGCAGCTGTTCCCGTTTTGCTTCGCCACGGATTTGGAGGGATGAGACTCGTTGAACCAACTGCTGCTTGTTATCTTATTGTCAGATCACTGTCGGTTTTTTTTTTCAAGGCTCTGGTTCAAAGACAGCCGCACAGCCAAAGACCTGTTTGCATAGACATGGTTGAGCCGAAATACATGTACATCGGAGACTTTGCCTCCAGGCAACATGGAAGCATCCACACCTTGTACGCGCATGACTGCATTGGTCCCTGCAACGTTCTGAACACACGGCCAAGCGGAGATACCGAAGGGCTGAACCGCACAAACACACACACACACATGCAAACAAATCCTGGGCACGAGTTTTTCTCGCACAGACTGCCATGATTTTTACCAGCATGAGTGGCTGCAAGGAGCGCGACTGCAACAGGTAAACTTTGTAATCGTACACTAGATGTCAATATGAGAATCCAGCTGCTCTGCAACTGTAACTGCAGCAGCAATCGGGCTGCATGTTCGCGTCCTTTTCACAGGTATGGAGGAAGTTGAACCCAAATTCGTCTCAGACTCTTGTACTGGTCAAAATGGTAACGAGTGTCCCTAGCACTGCGCACAGGCAGGCTCCAGGTACAACTTCTGCTTCCATCGACATAATGAAACTGTCGTCTGTGGCCTGGGCTCCACTGAGGTCTGGGTTGCTGTCGCGGGATGCCGAATTTGGTTGGGCTGACACACCGACACGCCTTGTAGTTTAAAACAGTTGTCCTTCTGCACTGACCCGAGCAGCGACACCAACCCAGCTTCAGCTCACACCTTTGACCTGCTCCTGCGCAGCGTTGGCGACAAAAGCGCCCCGAAAACATGTTGAAAGCAATCGAGGTTTAGGGCCTGCGCCAGACGTTGCAGCTCGCATGACCGAGGGATTCAATGGTTTCAGGATCTCTTGGTTGAGTGGCTCTGTCACTCAGCAAGGCCATACGAGGCAAGCCCGACCGTCGCAAGCCCTGGAAGTCTGGTGACAGGCAAGGACCATGGCTGCGGTGATTCTCACGAGGTTTCCACTCTCCACTATAAGTACGGTTGAGAGAACACTGCTATAGAAGGTCAGCAGAGGGAACCTGCAGACACAAGTGCGGCCTCTGGACTCTGGAGGCGGTTCTGAACCGCTTTTGACGGACATCGGGTTTGTGCGCGAAAGCCGTTTTTGTCCGGTCACAAACAACATCGTCCCGGAGCAGTCCGAATTTTCACCTCTTGCACTCTCACGACTTGTGAGCTAGATGTAGTATGTCAAGCACAACCTCGAGTTTCCATACTTGGGGTCACATGCCCGTACGTGCGTTGTCGCGTGCGAAATCGTGACATAAAGTCATGGTTTGGCGGGTCTCCAAGAAGGGATCATAAATGTCAAGGAAGGAGAAAATAATCAATCATGATTAGCATCCAGATGATCGGTCTATGTGGTACGAGTCCCCCGTTTTACTTCGGTGGTCCTTGCCTGCAGCATCCACGAAGGTCTCTGAAAGGAAGGAATGGCCACAGCAGTGAATGCAAGTGATACCCGTTATATTGATAATACCACTGGAACCCTAACTTCGCAATATCCGTGATGCAGAGTCCCCGCTCATATGCTGAGACGACATACGTGCGCTTCGAGACATCCTCAGTGGCATGTGAGAGTAGAAAGCTTGAAACGTCGCTATGCCACAGTGTCACGTCCTCTGGGATTTCTCTAACAAGCAGCGACGCGTTTTGATCCAAACGCATGATGCACATACTATTGTAAGCTGCAGATATGTGCAGAAGCTCACAATCACCGGCCAAGGCTCTGGGAGGCGTGCCCCTGGATGCAGGTGGACCGCAGCCCCCCGAATCCACACCCCCGTCCCTGCCTCGGCTCGGGTCTCATTCGTGGGCCGTGTCTGTCAAGGCTGTCTATGATGGACTTGAAAGAAGTGAGACCAGGTCAGTCCAGCCGCAGCTGCACAGCATCATCTCCCAACCGACCTGAGCAATGAATAGTGGGAGCCCGACCTCCACACCTAACTTCGTAGGAAGGCCTCATCAGCAGTGCTGACGTAGCGCTTGCATCTGCGCGCATGAAGCGGCCGCGCAAGTGGAATCAAACGTCGGCTCAAGCCTCGGATCATAGGGACTTGAATGTCCCAGAGGCCAGACTTTTTGGCACAAGCTGAGGCCGGGGCCAGATGTCCGAAACCGGCTGCACGAAAGCATCTTGTAGATTGCTGGTTCGAATTTATTGTCGTATGCCTCGGGCCAGCGAGAGAGCCTCTCAAGTTTCATAAGCTGTTTGCCTCACCAGGCCCAACTGCAGGGGAATCCTTTCTTGCTGCTAAGAGGCTTGTTGTAGAACATGTTCTACCTCGGATCTCTGGTCGCCGCATGAGCTCAGGTCCAATCCCATGTCAACATACCCGTGTAAGCAACACTTCAGGGGATGCCGGCCATTGCCGGCTTGGAATGGCTTGGAGCCACGAGCGGAAGATGTTTGCGGATACTCCGAGAATCGAAGTTGATGGATCGGTATTTTCGGCGCTCACACTGGGACAATCGGTGTTTCAGCGCATTCGCATGCAAGGCACTTGTTGAGTCTGTGGGTTCGCGTCATGCAGCTTCACACAAACAGCTCCTCCTGCAGCCGAGTATCTTCAATGATGCTGCCGCCTGGAGATCAACTAAATTTTGCACATGAAATAATAACCTTCCAAGACAGACTCAGGCACGGAAACCAATACTTCAGAAGTTTGGGTGCTAACACCGAAGGAAGTCTCGAACTCGAACTGATGTCTGCCGGTTCAGCCTGATCCAGACTCGATCTATTTGTTGACACCCTGAGGCCAAGCAGCGCGTGCGTGAGCCGCACACGTGGGTGGCTTGTGTGGAGCGCGCGCCGCAACGGAGGGACTGCGGGATGCGAAGCCCCTGCCTGAGTAAAACTCGTGGTCGCAGCATGCACCATTCGCAAACTTCACATGTCCCGAAATCTAGTAACTTGACTTCTGGCTGACATCAGATTGACGACCCCCGGACCAGGGTGAGGGTAATGGTGAGGGCGAAGTGAGGGGGGCACGGGGCACACTGCTGCACCGCACGCTCCTGCGCTACACTCTGTTCCCATATACGTTCGCGGTTTGAGCTGCATTTCCATGGGAAGAATGCTGCAAACCTGTGTGACATTTCACAGTCGCACTGTGATGTGCAAAGTGGGTCGAGCATGCCGGAGTCCCACGGCTGTGCAACATGGTACACTCTGTCGGGAAGCTCAACCTAACTACTAATCAATTTACCACTTCCTGATTCGGCCGTGGAGGCAAGTGGTACGTGCAGTGCCTGAATTGCTTGCTACCAAGCAGCTGGATCTTTGAGCGCACGGAGCCTAAGTGTGGAGCGTGCAAGCGTGTTTCTGCTACTTGTAACATGACATGGACTATGCGGCCAGCACCGTAATTTTGGTATGCATTTCTTGGGGCTCGGCTCGCATCGAAGGATCGCGGCGCCACCACTGGCATGGGCCTCTCCACCAAACGTTCCCCAACCTGGCGACATTCCACGTCCATGGGTCCAATGGTTTGGAGGACGGTCTGCCAAGTCACCGCACGGCGGGCACTGCGCTCTGCACGAGCATGTCGCGGCCGGCTCCGAGCACCGGCGAAGCGGCTGCTGCCTTCTCTTGGACTCGGACGGAGTGTCAGTGATCAGAACATGTCAGAACATATCGCACATTCCGCATGTCAAACGTGCCCGAGCCTGCGCAGCGAGCGGCGCGCAGAGTTGGCCGCTGCGTGCGGGAGCCCGAGACGGTCGTGGGCACCTCCACGGCCTGTTGTGTGTGTGTGTGCGTGTGACTGTGAAGGAGTGAAGACCAACCCCAGCCACGCAATGAAAGAACTTGAAAGACCAACACGTCTAACAGAAGGTGATTATTGCCTCAAGCTTTGGGCCTTTTGAGTTGTCTCAAACCTTCGCATGCGTCCAACCGCGAGACCAAGCATCCTGAGTCCGGTCATGTATCATACCCTGAAAGCCAACAGGATGAATTTCCGTTTGCCGAGCAAACCTGCGAACGCTTTTTGCATATCAGAAGTTCCTCTAGTGCCCGGCTTCGCGGATAGTGCCCGGAAATACCCGATATTTTTCGCGCGGCATCCGTTCTTTCGGACCGCATTCTAGGTCCTGCGCCTAGATCAGAACATGCTCCAAACGATTTAGTGATCTGTGGACGAGGACAGAATGGCGCAAACGATCCAATTGCTCAGGGTGCTTCGTAGTAGTTCTGTATGCTGGACAAAAAGATGCAATCAGGGATGCAAGCATGGGCTATGTCAGGTTATATGTGCGACCATGTCGATGGCGTGCAAATAGGAATGCAGTTTGTATTCTCTCCTGGAAGGATGCAGGGATAGGACTAAACGATGCCTGGCTGTCTCCTCTGATGTGATTCCTCAAGGCCGTATGCACGAGTTTCACGTGCGTAGAATCACAGAAGCCGACGGAGAATGCTCTCTTGGCTCATGACGGTGGCAGCACCCCGTGTGTGGATCCACTGACATGCGCCGGCTGCATGGCAACCCGGCCTCCATGCATGACCGTGGCTGTTCCAGCTTGTGCTCGGTCACATCAATGAGGTTAGTCACCGTTGAGATCTCCTGGTCATAACTGCAGACTGGGTGGAACACCTGAGATTTCAATCCTGATCATATTTTCTGTCCTTTGTGCTTCTTCTCCTCTCTTTCGACTCTCACACTCGCACCAGGCAGGCAAGGATCCACACAATTTAGGTTATCGGTTATTACAAGGTTCGTGGAAATATGGATTGTGCGCAAACTGCGAATTTACAAGTTTGGATGTGCGGCAGACATGTCCCGAATGGCCTTCGCAATCTCGGTCACCCGCGGCTGCTCGAAGAAGGTGGTCGAGCCACATGCTAGCTTCACCACGTGAGTCTCACGGGAACACTGCACACCAACATGCACTCGCCAGCGCAGAAACACACACATACACACACACACACACACGGCTCCAGGGATGCAACTCATGAGACAAAAAGACGGGGTGTAATACATCATGGTCGCACCTTGGCTTGTCGGGGTTTGGGGCGTAGGCCGACAGCAAGTCCCAGCAGAGCCAGGGAGGCGCCCGCCTTTGGCTGATGTTGTGGCACCACACTACTATGAGGTCTACAGAATGACAAGTCTCAGCTACCGTCTATGGGAACTGGCACTCGCACAACTAGCAGTGATGGCCTTCCACAGCGACGACGAGTCTTGCACCCGAGAGCGCGCGACCACTGGCGCCTCCAACATGGGTCTGACACATGCTTTTCGTTGTAACCCTGTTCGGCTTGCGTTTATGCCGGCAACACACATGCAGGTACATGCGCATTCTGATTCATAGTCTATGAATCGTCTCGATGTAATGTGAAAAGCCCTTAAAATTAATATGCGGCAGACATTCACACTAGTAAACAGCGTGCCTGGATGCTCAGCATGCCAGGACTGTGAAGAGCATTGGAAGTCACTGGACCAGATGAGACAAAGGCCTCACCTTTGCAGCGGGAAGTCACCGGAGCTTACCAGAGGCTGCAGGCATCGAATGCCCATCCGAGCCGATCGTGCCGACACAGTAGTGATGCCTATTCCGTGTACTCGTTCTGATTCTCAATGTCCATGCTAACATCAACGTTCCTGCTATGCAGCCTGTTGAGGGCTTGATATCATCCCTTGTCTTTTCGCGGCATCGCGCCTATGGCAGCAGCGAAGGAAACAGTGGCCTGGTTGGCGGCTGAACTTCATCAAACTGGCTTGCTTCCTCTTCACAAAAAAATTCTGCAGCCCAGAGCACAATGACAGTTGCTGCCCGAAATGGCATCTGACACGCGCGACGCGCCATCGCCCTCCTTCCAAGCTTCAACCCGCAGCTGCGGTGCTTCCGCGGGCTCTGAATACTCTACGTGTTTGTGGTACCCTCATGGACTCAAGGCCAAATGCCGCAGCTCAAACACTTTGACTGCCAAAACAACCTCAGGCATGGCTCTTTTTCGACTCCATGAAAGGGTAAAGAAGTTCGGACTGGAGACTACTTTGGGATAACCTTCTTATCGCCCTCCCTCTCCCAGGGTCCTCGTCAGGCGCGCGAGTCAGGAACACAACATCCACAAGAAGCTTGGGCCACGAAGCCTCCTGGTGTAAGACATCTGGTTGCCCTGTCAAGACGGAGATGACGAGCCCGGCGGAAATATCAGCTTCTGTGCTGAAAGTAGCCAGAACGGTGTCCCTAAGCTGTTTTTCGGTATTCCCGGCATTGCTGAGACCCATGCGTGTCCCGAAGCCAGCAAAGGCAAAGGGCTCCTGTTTGTGCTTCTGTTCTTGTCTGTCTCACTTGCTTAGCTGCAAATCTGCCTCGTCTCCATGTGTGTACCGACAAGCCGGCACCAAGCTGGCGCAGCATGGAGCGGCTGGAGCCTGAGAGGCCCACTGCACGGTGCAGCTCGTGGCGGCTGGCCTTCCTACCTTAGACCTTGTGCTTTGTGCGCCACGGCTCGGCAGTAGTGAGCACTTGGGTCAGGGCTTGCCACAGTCGGCATCGGTGCATCAGCGCCTACGATGACAGTGAATTTGTTGCGCAAGGGAAATCCTGTAAAACACAACACGGACATGCGATGACATGCTACGCGTATCGCAACCCCACAGCAAGTACAATCGTTGTCCGTCTCTATCCCTTGGACTCTTTCCGTGAGCCGGAGAATGTCAGAGCCCAGTCTTTGACCGCCATACCACACCCGGATCTCTAGGAGAACTTGCGCGTGATAAACGAATGTGCGTGCGTTACTTATTTTCTCCTTGGCAATCACCCGCCATGCGAGTTGGTGCCCGCCCGAGTTCCTCGCGCAAACCTGAAAGGCACTACAGCAAAGGAAAGCGCCAGGAACCGCATAGGTGAGCACCGCAACCCCAACCTACCCTGCTCTTGCCCCCATGGATCAAAAACATGAGTGCGCATGCTCCCGGTATGTACTTCGCTCTCTGTCTCTCTATCTCCGCCACTTCCGGATGCTGGCATCTGCTGCGGTGCACCGAGTCTGACGGCAACATGTGAGTCCACACATCGCTGGCTGGAACACTACAGGGGGGCTACGACTGACAGATCCAGCAAGCAGAGGATAAAACATTTTGTTGTTTGTGTACTTCTCCGTTAATGTATGTGTTTATGCATGTTCTCTGCCTGTCTGTAAGTCTGTATATGGTATATGTTATACGGCCTTAAAAATAAGCACAAGTACATATATATATATATATTTATATTTATATTTATATTTATATTTATTTATTCATTTTTAGCACTCGCACTCGACGAAGCAGGCGAGGTGCAAGGGGAACCAAAGCACAGCATATACATGTGTGTGTGTATACATACATGGGAATAATTGCAATCTCGTTTAGCTTCAAGTATTTCACCATACAGTCTAATGAACACAAATCACCTCCACAGCCCGGGATGTAAGGGTACGAGTATGTTTCTGCCGACTGCCGGCTCGAAGTCAGGCTTTGCCAGATATGGTTCGACATGATCAAAGTTGCAAATGACTTCCGGAGCTCGTTCTGGAGGTTCCGTCCCGTAATCGGCAAGTTATTAGTTAGCCCTGACCCTGCCATGCAGAAACGCCCTCGGAAGCCACGCAGCGTCATTATGTGCTGCAGAGGCGACGACTTTCTGCGTGATTATCCAACTTCAACTTTCTCTCCTCACAACTCCTTCGCCCTCTGCGAGGTGCCCTATGCCAGCAGCCTGCGCCGCCCCATGACGACAGCGGAGGGCTTGCATCACCTGAGTCGGCAAAAAAATGTGAAGGAGATTAGTGAACAGTGTGACAGCCGCTATCAGTTCAACAGCCCCATCACCGAAACTCTTAGGCCCGAGGCACTGGAGGAGGCAAAGCCGCAGGCAGGGGCTCAAGGCAAAGGGAAGGGATCGCTGGCAGGTATCACTATGCGGAAACCGATAGTCCCGCAAGGAGAAACGATTGCCTCAACTCGCGGCCAGCGCGGCTTTGGTTCAGGCTGGGATCCAAAATCGCCCGCGGCATGCGTTTCAGATGTAGCCGATCAAGTGTCTACGGCTCAAATAAGACAAAGACAGCGCAAGACACAAAGAGTTTCAGACAAATACACCTTGCGTTATGTAATGGACAGCTCACACACGGCCAGGCAGAAAGGCAAACAAACGAGCATGCGCACGTCGGTATGTACAAACATGTACACACACACACAAACAGACTGGCTACGTAACACTTAAGCAGGAAAGGACCCTGTCCTTAGCAGGGAAGAACCCTGTACTTACCTGCTCACTCCCTGTACATATCGCAGAATATGTATGTAGGTATGTATGTATGCATGCACGTATGTAGCCAGGTAGGTAGGTACTGGTATGCTTGCGGGTGTGTGTGTGTGTATGTCTGTATGCACGTAAGTAAGTAAGTAAGTAAGTAAGTAAGTAAGTATGTAAGTATGTATGTATGTATGTATGTATGCACGTATGTGTGTGTGTGCGTGCGTGTAGGTGTGTGCGTACGTATGTAAAAAATGTATATAGGCAGGTAGGTCGGTGAGTATGTATGTCTGTATGGATGGATGCATGTCTGCATGTATGAATGTAAGGGTGCATGGATAGATGGATGGATGCAGGCATGTTTTTTGTGTCTGTGTCTTTACGGATACTGATACATATACAGACATACCGCACGGTTTAAAAGACGTGCAGACTGCAGGTGTGTGTGTGTGTGTGGTCATAGTTCAACCTTCCCACATGCCTAAATAGGCTTACTGGAACGAGCTCTAGGAACTTGTCTCTGTCTCTCCTGCACTCACAGGCTAAAATGAAGCACAAGCAGCAGGTTTCTTCCAAACCATGCATTGCATAACGGTCCAGGCTTCTGGCTCCGCCACTAGTAAGAACACCACATCACGATTGGGCTGAAGAAGCAGCTGCAGTTCTGGACCAGTAAGAAACCGGTCTCCTAAGCCAACGTTATTCGCCCTTTGGGAGTATCCAAGAGAGCTTCTAAGCGTGGCTCGCTGCCAGGCTCAGAGCTCTGCACGACCACGCCCTTTACATTCAGGGCATCCAGGGCTTTCCTGAAAGACAGCATGATGGGTCCAAGGCACATTGGCCGAAACAACATGACAAAGAGATGAGACATTATAAAGAAGATCTGCAGTTAAGAAACCTATTCTGAATGCTCGCCACAGGTTCTGTAAAGCTGGCGCGTCCGGGTGTGATGCTCGTAGTCAACCAGGCGGCAACCGTCAGGAGCAATAGCCGAGGGGTGTTTCATCCCCTCGGCCTGGTTCGGAGACCAGTCGACCAGAAATGGCACAAGACCTGCCATGGGAAGCGCTGCAAATCCTGCTCTGTGATGGTCAGAAGCCAGGCGCCATCTGAGGGTCTTCCCTTCTGTATTCTGCCTTGAGAAATCTTGAATGGAGCCTATGTCGCACCCTGCTATGGCAGCAGCTTTGCCTGTTTCACTCAGGTCTCCCCTTCCATCCGAGCGTTGGACGCAAAATGTTGTGAGCTTCGGCTTCTTGGGGCAATCAATTCCAAGCCATGTTCCCACAGATTGAGCCGGATCCTGCGCAAGCAACTCACAATACACACCTTCCCCAAGCGATACCAGTGCGTTGTGGGTACCCAAGCCAAGATGTTGGCCGCCCACGCAAGGCCTCACGCCGGTAAGTGACTCAAAAACATCCATTCCGTCTGCCACCGACTCAACGCACCAAACCAAATGATCCACGCACAACTCGGGGGAGTGTCCCATATTGAATAGGCAGAATAGGCTAGGCACCGCTAGTCACTAGTCTAGTGAAGAGCTCGAGCCAAAGGCTAATGATGAAAGCAGTGTTGTCATCTCTTGTGGGGTTCTAGATGCCGAGTGATCGCACATGCTCACACACACACACCCGCACATACAAAAACACGCCATCAGGCGATCGCTGCAAATCCTTTCGTGCGTCTGGTTTTGGCGCCTGGGTTCCAGCATGATTGCGCCGAGGCCCTCATCAAGTGAGACTCCGCATCAAGCGTGAGTGTCGATGCAGCAGTCTGGCTCCGCTCTGCACTGCTTTGCCCAACAGCGACTGCGAGAAAGAGCAGTTGCAGCGCTTTGGACCACAAACGGATGACGGAGTCGGACAAGTCAATCGAACTGTGTAGTTTCACAGAGCGCCACAATGCCTATTTCGCATGTGACAACGGGCCATGGTGCTGGATGGAGCTCCGACAGCATTAACCTTGTAAAAGTGTGTTCGCGAAACAGCGTGAGATCCATGGCTCCCAAGTGTCCACGTCCATCTACATCTTGTTTCTCGGCATTTAGAGAATCAGCGGCATGCCACTTCGATGGAATCAGCGGGTGAGGAAGCGCTAGAAGTTCTGGAAGTGCAGCGTGTCCTTCAAAAGCCCTTCATGCTTGATTAGCCCTGAATGTGTTTGTAGGTGTGTGTTGTCAGTGTTGTCAAGGACAAGCAGTTCAATGATGTTCAATGTCTCGGGAAGTCTCGTCCATGAGAATGAGGGTTCCAGTACGACAAAGCGACTTCATGTTCAAACCGAAACCACATCTATCCTTCTGCACACAAAGAAACAAGCAAACAAACAACAAAGTGCTCCACCTGGCTGACGCAGTTCGGCGAGCTGCTGTTGGCCCCTTAGTACGTGCGGGCCAGGAACACACACACACACAGACAGAGTCACACACAGACACAGAGACACACACTTGAGGCCACCGCCGTGGCTGCGGCTGTGAAGAAGACCTGTGCGGGGCCAGAAATGCCAGCATCCCTGCTTGGACCCGTTTGCTTCCATCAACCTGCCTTTGCGAGATTTCAGAGCTCGGCTTTGTGCGAGGGCACGAGTGAGATGGCGACAGCCACCGGTTGTGAAGCACCGAACTCGGCTAGAGTCTCGATCTCACCTGAAGCAGCTTCCACGGCAACCACAACCACTGCAGCAGCCTCGTCCTGGCCTGTCGGTTTCGCAACTGCTAGCAATGCTGGCGAGTTACTGCCATCAAGGTTTGCACGCTGAAGCTTGCTGTTCCGCTGTACTGATGGTCCACCTCTGGTTTTGTACTGTGTGCCGAGCTGGGTCCAATAGACTTTGCCTCGCGCAAGTGCTCGTGACAGCTACTTCTGCACAGGCAAACAAACGAACAAACAAACAAAAGCCAACAAAGACACACAAACACACACACACACACTCTCACTCAGTCCCTCACTCCCTCACTCACTCACACACGCATACACAGCCACATTACATACAAAAACAATCACGCACATGTAGACATATTAACATAGCTACTAGCACATGTAACACACACACAACACACTGGTTGACACCCGCGGATGTGCACCCGCACCCCCACACCCTCACTCACTCACAGACACAGACGCAGACACACACACACACACACACACCGGTCCATACATTCCCAAAAAAAAGGCCTGCCACAGAGTCCACGGCAATCCCCTGAGGGTCCAAAAGACCCGTCAACTGCTGGACAGGTTTGTTCGAAGGCTGCGAATTGGGCAGCAATACAACCTTAGAGGCGCTCATTGTGATGTGCTCTGCCATCTGCAAGCTGCAAGCTTTTGCTTCATGTCCGGTCTGTTTCGATGTGAATATGGTCGCGCTTGGCTTCAGGCTGTTTTGTTGTACAAGACTTCAGCGGAAGATCCGTCGGGTTTGCATCTTCGAATCTCGAAGCTGCCCGCATCTGTCCAGTACCTTCGTGCATGGCAGTGAGAACAGGAAAACCTTCTCGAGTCCTTTCATATATAATGCAGGCAGTGGGCAGATGTCTGTACGGAAGGCTGGACGCATGGATGCATGCATTTGATACATGCATGGATGGATAGAAGGAAGGATGGATTGATGGATGGATGAAGGCTTGCATGCCTTCAGATTTGCCGTTAGCGAAACAAATTCTGCACATTCATGTTTAAAGTGCACACTCCTCGCACTGGCACTTGACAACCAGTTCTGGGTCAGATTCCTCGAGCGCTTCCACCGCAGGCACAGCATCTGTGCACCACGTTCGTGCGATGATCGTGCTCGCCATCTTGCATCATCGCAACATGGAAAATGCCATTACGTATGTTTTCGCGCTGATCAAGCTCATGTCACAAACTCCCGGCATGAAAGCCCTGTTGAATGAAGTTGCTGACTTGAGGGTAGACCACCTGAAGAGTTCAGTACTAAACACATGCAGTAGAATTTTCCGTGACGAGATGCAGCAAGATCCCGCGTACTACCCGTGTACGATTCGTCAGCTGATGGTGTTGACTGAGTTGAACAAGGTTCTCCTGAACCGCAAGCAACAGAAGCAATCGGAGACAGTGGACCGAAATGGGCAGATCACGTTGCAGCAGATGTAGAACATCCCCGGACTCGATCAAAATATCAGCTGGCTTCAGGAGAAACGGTTTTTCGAGCAAGAAATGGACGAGCTTTTGGAACAGGAAAGCACTTTGCAAGAGGAGCCCGTGCGCAAAAACATCCACGTCGGAACGTGCTTGGGAGCACCCGCGAAAAGCTTTTTCAATAACGTGGCCCCTCCTCCATGTGTTGGCATCTGCACACAAAATGGGCGTCTGCTGACATCTGTCGCATTTGTCTAGGCATCCCTGACGGCGCCGCGCAACAGCTCTGACGTAATCTGGGAGTTTGTCTGCTTCGGACAGGCAAGCCATGCAGCCCCTTCCTTTGCACGTCCGCCCCTAAGGCCTGCGTCTGAGATGCCATGTCGATTGCTTCTGGGATTGTCGGAACGTCCCAAGCACAGCTTTGTGACTCTGTGCTGGTTGTCACCTCCAATTCCAACCAAAATGGCTGCGGCAACACGACTATGCAAGCCTGCTCCGTGACAGCTGTGACACGTTGAGAAGCTTTGCGAGTAAACAAATCTGGGAGTATTCTGACAAGCGACAGCTGTCCATCGGAATCCAAGGCAACATGCATAGGATGGGAGGCATTGTGCAACGTGGCCACACCGGAGCCGTCCAGGCCGGCGGATTGAATCCTGGATACACTTAGCTACAGACTACCAAATCATCTACGCCTCAAGCCTGCAATCGCCTGCATGTTCCATGGCATCGAGGCTTTCTATTCTGATGCTGACCTGGCGGTGTTCTCGTAGCCACATTGATCAGCCCAATACATCCGACCGGCCTGGCTTTCTTTGGAACGGCTCTCGTCTCACTCAACCCCCCCCCCTTTAAAGGAGCCTTTGAGTCCAAGGCCAGGCCTGCAGGCTCCTGCAGATCCGAGACCTGGGGAGACAAGAAGGGAGGCTCTCGGCTGAGCTTCGGCCCAGGCCTCTTATGCTCCTAATTAGAGCTTCGTCCCTGGGATCCAAGGAGCCAAGACTTCGATGTCGGAACCGTTAAAGGCACTGCGCTGGATCTGAGAGCTCGTCACGTCCTCGGCTTTACCGTAGGCTTCCGAACGACGTGTAAACGCAGGCCCTAGGCAGCCAGGAAGCCGTCCAGTAAACTTTGCCATCTGCATCCGTAGCTATGCCCTGCACATGGACGCCTGACACCACCTCCTGGCATTCTATACCACTCTTCGGGAAAAAATCTGAAAGGCTGCTTTGTTGTCCAGTTGTCCAGCGGTAGCGCATCTTGAGACGCTCCTCCAGGTTGCTGCCATCTAAGTTGCAGCGCATGATCCGGTCGGAAGTGTCGTCAGATTCTGAAAAGTACCTTGCCACAACGACAATTCTGAAAGCAACATAGCACAACCTGAACCAGACGTCTCGTAATCCGTCTTCGTCCGTTCAAAACCAGGCGACAGCTTTTGTCTCAAGTCGTCCACGGCCAAGGAATTCCTCTCAGCAATAATGCACCGGCACGTTAAAATCTCAGATTCTCAAACCACATCACGAGCGAAGAGGACAAGATGCGAACACTGCTGTGCAAACAAGCATCGGATGGCCGAGCCCACTTAACAGCACCTCCCGATCTGTCCCGTCGAGGTTTGCCCGCATGAGGCAGTCCTTACAGCTGATTCGAGGCCATGCCAGCAGCACACAGGTTTGATCAGCCTACCATGCCATGCCCAGTGGCAGGCCAGTTCATAAGGAGGTAGAGATGCCGCGCCTCCACGTGTGCGAACCTTGGGATCTGCGAGAGCGCACGTGCATGCGAATGCACTGTGCCCCTAGCCTGCGTCATCTACAGTACTGATGGCATCAACGCTCAGCCAGAGAGCAACGCAGCCAACGCAGCAAGGAGAGCATAAAGCATGCGCTCCGGCAGATGTTCTCCCGCTGGCTGCGAGGCTGAAAATTTCGACATCACCACATGCTGGATACATGTGCAGAGAGGTCAAACGGAAACAAGTCCTATACAGCTGGAAGTGGATCTCTGACGGAGATGCTGTGGAGGCTGGAGCCACAGGTGGCAGTCAAGACGATATCCAGCAAGTCACGGTCATGCCTGTGGCATTGCTACTGCATGCTCTCGCTGCGCTTCTGCAAGATGCTTTCTTTTTTGCTACGGGCTATGACGACGGGGTCGTGCGGAGCATGATGTCCACCACGATCGGAGGGTTGGACACGGCAAAGAAGGCATCGGCAGATGACCTGGGCGTCGTGGGAATGCAGACTGGAAGGCAGCACAATCTGCTGCAACAAGAGACTATCTGGCTCATCGGTGCTGTGGACGCGTTACCAGGCAGCCAGATGCACGAGCTTGAGCCCTTGGCGCGTTCACCTGTACGACCTCAACCACCAGCACTGAAGTGCATCAGGGGCACGGCTTGCCGCTAGTCATGGATGCAGGACTAGCAACGCAGCACCAGCATCCACATCAGCAGCGTTACGTTCTTTCTTCCCGCTCTTCAGCGAACCCACAGCGTCAACTACTGCTGGGATGATTCAACAATATTCAACCTTCGTGGTCTCACTCGTATCATTATCGTCGCCATCATCACCCATCATTGTTCTGACAATGATGCTGAGATGCCAGCACCATCCCTGCACGCGACTCCATGACCTTCTGGCAAGCTTGGTACTACCGAGTTGCCTAAATCGCAGAACTCCAACTTCGCCAACCATATCTTTCGTGGCCCGAGCCAAGGTGATAGTGCCCGAAGATGTGCACGCGCGGCCTCACCTCGTCGATCCGCTCCTGGACATCGCAGCGACGATCTTTTCCCTCTCGGCTGAGAACTATGCCCAGAAGCGAGGTATGCTTGACTCTTCAGGGGCCGCGAAAGCCTACAACATGAAGAAACCTGTCTGGCTTCTCTGCCTGGAGGCATGCACTCGCCCTGCCGAGTGCTCCTGTCAGTCATGTCTGATGAGTACCTGACGGCGAACACAAATGATGCCGCCACCTTCGCCTGCAGGTCCATGGGTCACCAGGATGTCCAAGCCTGGGCGCGGCAAGGAGTTCAACTGCAGAAGACCAGCCTGCGCCAGCCTTCAGGCACGGCGGAAACTGCTTTGGCTTCGTCGTAGCCACTTTGGCTCCTTGGGCAGCACATCTGGGTTGCTGTCTGCGAATTGCAGGCATGATTTTGAAGAGCAATTCGCGAATGCCGACATGATTCTGAAAGGCTCCGTTCGGGCTCGAACCGGCAGACAACGGCCTTGGGAGCAAAAGTCGTTGTCAGCACGACTTGAAACTGTGTTCCACACTGCTAGCACACCTTGCCGTCTTGGCCTTGGACGAGCCATGGATCTTTAAACCTCAGGGACATGAGATGAACTTCGTTCCCATTGCTTCGACTCTGAGGTCGGCACTCTCCAGCTCGATGGACTCATCCTGGCGGAGCAATACGGAGCATTTAATCATGTATGTATGCATGCATATACATGTATATATAGATATATATATATATGTGTGTGTGTATACAAGACTCCGCAAGTCTCCTCAAGGGGTCCTCAAGATACGTGCAATGGTTCAGCAGCCGCTTCACGCCAGCAGCACGGAGATCCCGCAAAGCCCCGTCCTGAATTCTAAAACTCTGGTTGTCATGTGACAGTGAGGCCCCCTCCTCGTACTGCAAAATGTCTATTATAGCACAGTAGAAACGATAAACTGACAAAGTGGAATAGCAGGCACTCAAAATCAAGAGCATGCATCGACACAGTCTCAGGCTGTCGCATGATTTCCTGCGACCAAAAGGCGATGCCTGTGCCTGGCAGGATGTACACACGCCATCCGTGTCTGTCTGTCTGTCTGTCTCTGTCTCTGTCTCTGTCTCTGTCTTCTGTCTCTGTCTCTGTCTCTGTCTCTGTCTCTGTCTCTGTCTCTGTCTGTCTGTAAGGGCCTGAAACCAGCACATCGACTGGCGATGCAAGTTACTCCAAGACGTTCTACCAAGGCCGTGACGAGAGTTCGGAAAGCCAACGATTAAAGTCGGCGAGTGCGGCGATGTCCTCGACCTCAGCTTGAGACATTGGCGTCCCGACATACACCGACATGCTTCACATTACCAGTAGGGACAAATTCAATGCTGCCGTGGGTCAGCTGCTCCTTTGCTCTCTAGCAGCACGTCGCCGCAGTGGATAAGGATCTGAATGTGCGGGCGCTGACTTGAACCGAGTGTAAATGAACATTACTTGGACTTGCACATCTCCCGCCGGCATTGGTGAATGCAAGTCCCGATGCTGCAAGTGAGTGTCCTCATGAGGTGTTTGGCGGCAAGGATCCTACACCATGCAAGTGCCTCTACAGTAGACTTCAAGCCCTGCAGGCATGGTTCATGCAACAGATGTGACAGATAATCGCTCAAGATGTTTGCTGTGCGGCCGCATCAAGGCATCTGTAGGGAAGCGGCCGAGATGCACACACATCCTGGCAAACATGTTTTGACATGAAGCGACTCGCGAGCGCAGGCTCCTCTTCAACTCTAAGGCCTGCAGCCTGCAAGATCCTGCAAGCAGGTGTGCGCCCTATTCTCGGCTCTGAGGGTCTCGCTGATGGCCTCTTGGCACGGAGGTGGTGTTGGTAGCCTAGGACTTAAGACGAAAGGCATCGCAGCAAAGGCAAAACCGTCTAACACAATTGCCGCACCATGTTCTTCAGATGCAAATGCCTGAAGACTTTCTGGTTCACAGCAGATTTCTCGCTGCCGGCTTTTTGACACGACTCCTCTCGCCGTTGTCACCACTTGCAGCACTGGCAGAACTCGTCATCCGATGGTTGCAGGCCTTCGCGGGCTCCCTATGCCAGACCTGGCGTGTGCCAGCTCTGCCTTTGTCACCACCATTCACCGCCCCACATCACATCCAGCGCTTCGAAAGTCCGAGCTCTTGCCCTCGCCCCAATGATGAGCACTGTCTGGCCGTCCGACGAAAAAGTACGAAAGCAGTCTGCTCGACGCCGTGTGTGCCGCTCATCATCTATGCTTGCGCCGGAGGGTGTTCAGGGAATCAAGCTCGTCCTGCAGTACCTTCAAGGAAGGCTGCTTGCATGCCCACAGCAATGTGAGGAATGCAGCAGGCGGTCTCTCTTGAAATGGATGTGTGAAGCCATGCCATGTGCAAGAATGATACAGCGGAGACAGAAGGTGTTCAGAGGGCATTGGGAAAAATGAAATGTCTGGCCACTGTGAGCGACCTAACGGGCCTCCTGACAACAGCTTGTGGAAAACTGCCAGAATGATGTGACATCATGCCAAGGTTAGTATGCACAAGTTCTTACGGCTTGGACAGCTTGTACGTCGTTTAACAACCTCGCAACGCCCTGCACTCTTCGATTGAAGGACGGCTGGAGCTTTCACTTTTCTGTACGCGGCCTTGCGCAACGTGCCAGGACCACTTCTTTCCAGATACCTCGCCGACGGTCAAAGCAAGGGTCTTCTGCCATGTCTACTTCGCCGGGATGTGGGATGGCATGCACAAACGAAAGAATCCGCCGAGGCCACCGGCCCCCCCCTTCCCGCCTCCCCTCGCCTCCCTCCCCTTTCCACTGCTTGGGACCAGCTTGGCTCAGGTAACAGGCAGGCAACATTTGAAGAGGCCCTTGCACCAACGCTGCCGACGTGTCTCCCGTGCCCCCTGCCCCTCAGCAGCCGAGGCGGGCGGCGTAGCGTCAAAATTATTTGCCATGCAGGATAGTCACTCATGGAGGAGCTCCAGGAAGGCTTCGACTTCAGGATCATCCTTCTGTTCAGGTATCAGGAGAATGTTGTCTTGCACTGCAAGGCATTAGTAGCATCCGTCGCTCTCTTTTCAAACGCAAAATGGATGTGGGCATATGGAATGCTGCAACACTGACATGCTGTTGGCTGTCATCAGGCCTCCGCTCCAGTCTGCAGCGTTTGGCGAATCCTGGACCGTGGGGCGGCGGGCAACAGCGGAATTGCCTCGCAGAAGGAAGCAGGACAAGTACTTCAACGGGAAAAACACCAGACTCCCACAATGGTAGTAGTACTATATGATGCTCCTTCTGATGGAGAGCGGAAGCTTATGAAAACAGCTTGTGGCCGGAAGTTCGGTTTCAAGTTTCTTCTCGCAATCGAGATTGTCCAGAGCAAAGACAGTTGAGGAATGCCCTGTGCAGACTTCTGTACTACTGGGCGTCCGCATCAACATGCTCAAACGGTTCTATCGTCAAATTATACTCGTAGCCTGCACATGCGGCGGTAGCGCCGCAAGCAACATGGGCCTCGCAAGTGAAAGTCGGGAAACGTCTCCAGAGGGGGAACAGGGGGAAAGGTCTCCAAGACATGGCCCCAGGAAATGCTGCAGCCATTGCTCAGGTGAGCTGCGAAATGGACCTCTCCGGCATCGTGTTGCACGCTCTGCAAATGAGAAACCGAAGCTGCGAGCCGAAGCCCGTCGATGCTGCGGCTATGTCTGTTGCACTGGGCCGGCGTCGCCTCCTGCAGAAGGCAAGCCCCAGGCAACGACTGTGCCATCATCACGAATTGCTGCAAGCATATAGCCGCTTGCCACAGCCTCCAAAAGGCAGCTTTGCCCCAAGCCACCACGGTACCATTCCCAAACACTGCAAAAGCAAAGCGAGTAGCCAGGAGCTCCTGTACATCATGCTCCTCTTCCGGCTCCAACTTCCTCATCCACAAATTACAGAGCCGTCACCTCGAAGCAAAGCACTCAGCCGTCCCACGTTTGAACTCTTTTGTCCTTCTGAGTGCGAGCCGTCAGGTGCTCATCTTCGCAACTCTGAGAGATCCCGCAAGTCGACTCCCAGAATTTGTCATCAACGCCATTATGCCAGTCGTGGAGTCAAGGGCATTTCCGATCCTGAACTTCAACTGTGCACTCTCCTTCAAAGTCTTCCACCGTCCACTTCAGCCTCGCTGAACTCACACAGAGGCGCCGCTGAGCAGTCCGACAATGTATGAAAGACGGCGTTGCTCAGAGATCCAAATCACGTCGTTTACGCAAACTAGCCCGTGAGTGTGGTGTTTTTTCCATACGGCATTCGGAGCAGAGGAATTTGTGAAGATGCAGCGTGGCCAGGGCTTGTTGACCCAATGGAGCCAGCAAATGCCAGCAAGATGCATCTCAACGACCAACCTCCATTCACAGCTTGTGAAGGGGCACCCTCTCCCTGAACCGATGGAGAATTACGCGCAACCTGCCCTTTGCTGTAGCTTGTTCTTGAAACTCAGCTACCCGGCTTGTGCTAGCTCTGCTCCATCCTGCTTGAGCTCTCTTTATCCTTTTCTGGTTACTGGTGCAGGCTCGGGCCTTGGTCGCTTACTTAGCCTGTGCTTGTGATGCTCGCGCCCGTGCTGAGGAAAAGCAAAAGGCGACGCAACATTCATGAAGGCTTCATCTGCTGCCTCACCCGAGAAGCTCGAAGTACCAGTAGCGGCTTCAGCCACGAGAGTGAGGCAAATGCCCCCTGGACAGGAGCGGCTGCGCGGCTTGCAAATTGCGAAGCTCTGCAGCTATGCGAAGCCAGCTTGTTGTCACCCCGTTGCCCAGCCTCTCTCGATGCTCAGCACCTCATCCTGCAGAGCCCAACCAAAGTCCGACATACGGCAGCGCAGCTCCATCATTGCCTCCCGCCCAAGACGTAAACTCTCAAAGATTTTAAAAGTTCGGGGTACGGAGTGCGGATGCACGAGTTCGGGTTGCTCGTGCATAATTCCCTGCAGCCTCGGGGCCGGTTGGCACGCTGGGCTGCAGCACAAGGCGCTGCGCAAACTGCGCCGCCGGGATCCATGCAGACAGCTTGCCTGCGTCTTCCCGTGGCTTTGCAATTCTAGGCCGTGCCGCGACTTCCTTGCTGCTGTGTAGGCCGGGCCTGCTGCAATGCCTGCTGCACACACCACGTCCACCTCGCCCGGGTGGAGTGTGGACAGGCCATCCCCGAGCCTGAAGTCAATACCTGACATGGAGAATCCAACACAAACGCTGAAGTACCGGCATGGCCACAGTTTATCACAGCTGCGGCGGCACTGGTCGGTCGGCAATCTGCGTGCCAGCATGCGACCTTCGACTCTCACACTCGCGCAAGGCAGGCGAAGTTCCACACAATCCAGATTCAACCAATGACAGAGTAACGACCAGCTTACAAACAAAGCAACACATAAGAATCATAATAACCCTAAGCTACGCCAAGAATCAAACCACTAGCCATCACTCAGCCACAGACAACGACTTGACATGCTTGCCGGAGCTTTCATGAGCCTTCGGAACTTCTTGGTGCAGCCTGTTGCATCGTAAGCCATGAGTGGCAGTCAGTCTCACGGAAAGAACAGCCCTGAGCTTTCGATTCCGACTCCAGTCATGCTAGATATCGGGAATATCATGGAATACCATAAACTTTGGAAGGCTGGTTGCGGGTAGCTGCCCAAGCCCAAGACCAGCCGGGCCTAGTTCCAGAGGCCCGGAAGCCAGATCTGTTGCGAGCACCCGCACGCCTGACTTTCACCTAAAATTCTGCTAGAGATGATCATCAACCAACGACATACATTCCTCACAGTGTCGCGTGCTGCCGTCTGTATGTTCTTGTACTATAAAGCCGAAAAGCCAAGAAGCCGGCGTCTCGCTGCACAAGGTGAAGGCCCAACAAGGCTTTGTAGCAACCCACATCAGCCACACGCAAAGCTTCTGGCAGGGTGGCAAGCAGCTTGCGGACGGGGTGTGCGCGAGACCACGCAACAAGTTTAGAGAGTTTGTGACAGCCTCCAAAGATTGACGGGTCTCGTTCTCAGCTGCATGAATCTCTCGATCGTTTTCCCTTTCTTCTGCTGATGCTTCGGAGCGGGGCTTGTTGCCCTTCTGTCTTCTTCTTGGACTTCGTCCTGATTCCTGTCTATGGCTTTTTCTTTCATGGGGTTTGTCTTCTGGCTCTCTCTGCCGCTGCCTCTGAGTCTCAGACATCTCGCTGCAGGGAAGTGCGGTAAAAATCTCGGAGTCCTCGGCCCGGCATCGGGCGCAGCGCTGCGTCGGCCACCGGCATCAAGCGCAGGGGCAGCTCGGGACTGGTGGCCGCGCTGCATACACCGCGAAGGACCGCCTCGTCTCCCATGCGCTCCCATGTGGAGCTGAAACTGCCCTGAAGCTGCTATAGGACCCTTTGAGCCAGCCGCTAGACTAAACGCAGCCGGCTTGTGGTATAGTGTTGTAATGTGTTGTATGTACTTGATGGTTAGTCATGGGCGAAAATATAATGACATTAATGACCTTCGATGACAGCTGGGCTTGGGATGAAGGAGGCCGCAGAGCCGTGTCGAGACTGCTCACTGAGAGGCACTTGCACAGCCTGAACCAACGTACTTAGGAAAACACAGAACCTTTTCATCCTCCGCGTTATGCATCACTTGGCAAGGAATCTGAGCGCCGTGCTCGCCGCACGGCAAACTGGGCTTTCGCACAGGGTAGCAGCTTGTCGATTTCACGAGCTTCCACCCGCGCTGGGGACAGGGAAGGAATATTCTCGAGCCGTGCATGCGGAGGCGGTTCTACCCATGGCTTCGGCTTGATGATCTGTGGCGTTCCCAGCAGGGCATTACGCGGCCGCTCGAGTGACAATCCCAATGGAACCAATGCTGGAGGCCAGGGCGAGGGGCCGACCAACTGAGATTCCTTTGAGTCTTTGCTCTTTTTCGGCGGCAGCTCTAGCCAGCGTTCCAAAGCAGGGTTTCGCAGCACACGGTTCTGCACAGCAGCCAAGACCATGTTGGTACACATGAAGACGAACACACCTGAGGGCGCAAAAGAAGCGCATATCCGACAACAGCGCACTAGCAAGAACAACATAAAACAACATGCCTCTCAGCACAGGTTTCCATTCGTGCAGCCCAGAGTCCTGAAGGGAATCCTGAAGTAAAGGGGATGAACATGAGAGCAGATCCACGCATCACGTACTTCTGATACTTCTGCATTGTGTTTTGGCCCAGCGCTGATCCGCTGTCTTGACCTGGACCCGTTGCGGTGGGCACCGCTTCAGTATCCACAGAACCATAAAGCTCGGTGTTTGTCATCATGATAGCACCTTGGGCTCGGGAAGTCAGCTGTTGCGCAGAACGAACTGGGCTACGACATCGTGATGTCTGCTCTGCTACAGCCCTCTCACGCAAACGTGCGATCCACTTGGTTGGGCGACTCTACTGGGCACTCCGAGAAATCCCAGATCTGCAAATACATGTTAATGACCTTGGCCACATACTTACTGTGCTGGAACTGCAAACAAGACTTCGTCCCAGGTCACTGGTGAGGATGGGCATCAGGTAGTACGGATCAGACAAAGCGAGGCTGTCCAGCCAGAGCGGGGCCTCCATGGCAAAGCCCCGGAAGACATCCGGGTGGTTGGCCATGCCACGCATGGCCGCAAAAGCCGTAATGTACAAAGGCATCTGGAAAAGAAAGAGATTCCAAGTGCCCTTCATCATGAAGAGCTTGCCGTGCTTCTGGGTGAAGGCTTGAACCTTCTTTTGTGCTTCTTGGGCCTTGACCGGATCTCCTTCCGTCTCTTTCTGCTTTGCCATCAGCTCCTCGTATTTGGGCTGCAGGAGCGCCTTCTCTCGCGTGCCACGAATGGCAGATATACTGACTGGCAGAGCTATGAGACGAATGCCGAAACACGTAGCTATGATTGCTGCGAACCACGAGCAGCCGGCATAATCGTGAATGTCAATCATAAGGGTCTGGAGCAGATCTACAGGGAGCCACGGGTGGTATTCGCTGGACACATCTGTGCCCCTTGCCACAGATGCCTCTAGGCATTTGTCCAGCAGGTTTCGGGACATGGAATCTTCTGGATACCCCGACATTGCCAGTTGTGCCCGAACAGGGCCGGCTGATATGAACCGCACATTTCGCCCATCGCGCACCCGCGAGATCCCAAGCGGCACGCGCGGGCTGGCCCGCAAACAAAGCCTGGCAGAGTTGTGCCTAAGGAGTGAGGGCATGGTCGAAGTGCGCCTAAGAGCTGTGGAGCCAGAGCACATCATCACGACAGGCCGCAAGCAAACGTGCAAGTCCAAATGGGTATGCTATGCTTAGCCCGTTTAGCAGATCTGGATGTTTCTGGAATGCGGGGCCGCTGCCACTTTACATCTGCCGGAGAGCGGTCGACGGGAACGACCTCGACGGGTTCTCTCAAATGCGGCCAACAGCCTTCGTTAAGCACTCTTTCAAGCTACCGGCGTGACATCGCAAGATGCTGACAGCCTGAGTCCCGAGCGACATGTATTACCTGGCGCTCCGTGCCGCCTCAACACAACCCGTATGGCAAAGCCTCACGGCATACCGGTGGGAGATCACTATGCTGGGTCCGCCGCGCAAACGTCGGAACCAAAGCAACGCTACAAGACGAGCACCTAGGGATTGGAAAAGCAACGCAGTTTTGTAGACCCAATGGACCGAACTCGGGCCGAAGAGTTCAAAAGTTGCCACTTGTTTCAAAGATGCAAACCATCGAAAAGCAGTAGAGTCATGCGATCTCGCAGGGTCCTGCACGCCCGGCTGGCCTCAGCAAAAGCAGCCATACCAAGCCTGAACGACACTCACTCGCCGTATGTTTGGGTGTGTGCCCCCTGTCCGATGTGCAAGCTGACACAAACATAGGTGTACGTTCAAGAGCACATGGACACACATGTAGCTCCCTCTTCAGCAGTTCTTACGAAAGTCTGGAAGAACCTGTCTCTTTACACTCTCGCAACTCTGTCACAGCCAGAGGTTTTTCTGGGTCAGACGGCAAAAGCTGAACCTTTTACCCCCGCCCGCTGTCGGGCCCTCTCCCTCCAGATACCCTTACGAACTGCAGCACTGCCAGGAAAGCTGGGGCTGTGTCGCCCGAGCATGCTGAACGGGAGCTGCACGAAACCCTTGCGGCTGGAAGGCTCACAGCGGCAATATGGAGTCGTGCTTGTCGCCGACAGCATTGGGCCGGACATGCTAGTGATACACAGATATACACAGGATGTTGCACCTCTTCCGATGAAATGTCAGATGGGGAATCATTTTTTCCAAAACGCTGCTTTGCGAAAACCCCGTGCAAAATTTCATGGGCCTGAACCTTTGAACGAGAGGGCTCCAGAGACCTTTCGGGTGCAGTCTTCCAAGCTCTTCTTACGACGAGCCCGCTCCGCCTTCCCAAGGCAGTTCTATGGCTGCGACGAGCCATCGCACGATATCTGCAGAACTATAGGGCAGCCATGCCAGCTTGCATCGTCTGGGAGTAGTTCTGAGATCGAAGTGATCTTACTTCTGGGCACGATGGCTCCAGGCTCTGGCGTGTCGGCTTATCTTGCGACGGCGAACTCGAGAGAACTGGAGCCAGCAAACAAATGACGGGTCCAGGGTGTCTGATGCCGCATCACCGCTTTCAACGTCTCTGCACGCAATAGCGATGTCTAACAACCGAGATCAGCAAGGAGGTTTTGCGAGGCAGCTAGTGGCAGAAAGCAGTTGGCAAGCCACTTGCTCAAAATGTGGTGATCATGTAACATGGGGCGGGTCAATCTGCACAAGCGGCAAGACTGAGAATGCATGCCGTCTTTGTCATCTTCAGGCGTTAACAATCTGGGTCGGGACCGTCGCTCAGGCTTGGGTGGCCTGCAGTAACCAAGTTTCGTTCACCCTGTGGGGAGGTCTCAAACTCCAGGGTGCTGGCGTCTCCAATGGAATCGGAGCAAGGAGGGTTTTACCTACAAGCCAACGCTCGGTGCTCGATCGGATCACATCCAAGGCAGAAAAAAAACACGAAAAAAACTGACATGCCTCTCGAATCGCCTGATCGACGTGGCGGAGTCTGCGGCCTTTGTGCAGCTGTAGGTCAGTCTGCCAGTGTCAGAGCGGCAGCAGCGCCGGCCAGGCACAGCACCGGTGAAAGCATCAGCACGTGACAGTGAAGCATTGTGGTTCTTGGGGGGTGCCACTTCCAGGTAATCATGTCGTGTCTGTTACATGTGTGATGCCTGAGACTCCCACGCGGGGGTCTCTGGGAGGCCTTCTGAGTCCGCCGATGTTGGAGTTGCTCCTGATACCATGACTCTTTTCCAGCTGCACTTCACCAGCCATCTTTGAAGGCATGACAGACTCGAATGCCTTTGGCTACCCTAGCTCTGGTGCTGCGATGCGTGCCTGTCCCATCGCCCACAGATCTGGAAAGTAAGATCCTGCCAGAGATGGGGAGGAGGCTTAGCATGTGATAGGCAGAGGCAGGGCTGAGGCTCAGGTCTCGGCTGGGGCTCCGCTGGCGTGGACGACGCAGTCGACTCCTTCAAGCACTGCGACGAAGACGGCGACATGTTCACCACAAGTTTCGAAAGGGCCTCGGTCCAAAGGTCATCTCGGGCCCGCTTGCTAACCTCGGTACGTTTGACCGCGGCAGCTCCACTCTCTCTCGGTGGACATCTCGGGCCGCAGAATGCGATCGCAGCTGTCGTTTAGGGCTTACCTCGCAGGCCAGACCCACTGGAGCCAAGCTCCAAGCTAAGCCACTGCCAGGCCGCGTTCTTCAGAAGCTTAAAACCGGTGAGACGCGTGGCAACCTCTGCTTCAGTCTGCCGGGATTACTGGACCATTTAGCTCTGGTTTCGCCACTTAGTCTACTCCTGAAAACAAGAAAGCGATAGCTCGTTGGCCATGCTGCTCTACAAAAGGCTGCAAGCAGTGCGGCAGATCCGTCTCGAGAAATGTGACGCGTTGCATTCCGGAATCCTGCAAGTGCTTGTAAAATCTTCGTCCGTATGAAAGTGTGGCTTGCATCCTTCCCACGAAGATGAGGATCGGCACTGCCTTGTCGGGGCAGGCTTCTGCAGCCTTCCATGGCGAGTTCTTTTCAAAGACTGCTACGTCACCGAACTGGCCCTTGGCAATAAAGGCTCGGGTGTGAGTGAGTGTTTCCCAGCTGTGAAGCGCGCCGTCCCAAACTATAATGCGCGAGAAAAGTTCCGGGTGCCGTAATCCAAGAAGCATAGCTCCAAAGCCACCCATGCTAAATCCTTGGATACATCGCTTCTCAACCACGAGATGTCGCTCGACCTGTGGCATAACATCCTTCAATACACGAGTGAACATCTGAACAGTCTTGCCATCTGACCACATTCCAGACTTGGTGTCGTCATATGGAGCGACGATATGGACAGGTCTGCCAGCTTGCTCCAGGGCAGCAGCTGTCCAGTAAACCTCTTTCCGGACAAACGCGAAAATTTCTCCCAGGCCGTGCAAATGGTACAGGACCGATGCTGATGGTGCTGGGGGTGTGTACAAACAGTACCAGGTTCCGCTCTCTGTCTGGTGTTCAGTAACAGTCCCTTGAAGAGTTGGCTTGGAGCCACAGACGTATTGCACCAGGCCTCTCAGAAGTGCTGCCATGTTAGCCAGACCTTGTACACTTGTCTACACTATCCAGTGTCTGAAGTGGCTGCGGAAGCTGATGCAAATCCATGATGGACAGAATCTCTCCGGTCTCTGGGTCATCTGCATGCGGTGGCGTGGCCTCACACTCGGCCATGGGCTGGCCTACAGAGGCAGCATGGGCCGGGTGGGAGTACACCAGCAAAGAATTTCTAGAAGCAATTTGCCAAGGTGCTCAACCAAAAAAATTTCGCGCAGAGAAGACACGCTTGAATCTCGAGTTTTGGATTCTGTCAGCACGACAAGGCTGTCGCCTCGAAAGTGGTGCTGGTCCAGTGCTTCTCCATCGAGTCTGGTCACCAGTTCGTTCCTCGCCAAGCATGTCTGAAGCATTTAGCCATACCTAGCCCGTCAGAAGTGGTCAAGTGATTGTTCAAGCAGTCGGGCAGCAAAACAAGTCAGGCTAGGGCAGAATGCCAAGCATGGTGATGGCACTCATTCGGTCAGCCTCACCACATCCATTTTATTGTAGATTGCATCTTCCAAGGCAGTGAACGTTCAGACCTCCTGTGCGTCAATGGCCTCGCGCAGCAAAGGCTCCAGCACCTGCAGCGGCGCAACTTTGTGCACAAAGATGCAAGCTGTGGCTAAATGCACTGCGAGAGTGAAGGCTCTGGTCTAGTCTCTCGGCGCTTGATGCTGTTCAGCTGCCAAGTATGTTCATGCGGCAACCTTTGAGCTCCCAGCCACTTCTGGTCCTCGTAGCGACGCTTCATTCAAGACAAGTTCCGTCCCAATGCTCCGCATCCTGAAAAAGACGGCTTAATTAAGCGTTGAGTCGAATGAATCTTTCGCACACATGCTCCCAACGTTTAACACGTTTGAGCATGTCCATGTACCCCTGATTGTTTCGAGTTTTCGAGTGGAGGAATGGCGATAGTGAAGCACATTTCCAGCCAGCGCCCGGGATTGTTGGAAATCAGTTGTTTACAAAAAACGACCTTCTTCAGCAAAAAATCGAATCGGAAAATGCACAATCATGTTCAATGTATTCTCGATTCCCCCTTTGATGTGCTTGAAACAAGGCCAGCACAGAGGAATCTGAAAACCCATCGAGAAACATATGTGTTGTTGACTTACTTTCGATTCCCCATGCAGACGAACACTGAACCACCCAGCATGACTGAACGTGCTTCTCTGGGCCAGGACGATGCTCAGCGAAGCTCCGCTAGCCTATCAGTCGGAGCCCTTGTCGGCATGCAAGTAAGTCAGATATGCCACCTCAGCCCTAGAGACCAATAAGCACGAGCTGGAATCCTCCGCAGTAGCTCGTGCTGCTTTGTCGTTTCTCTCAATCCTCCAACAAACTGAATCTGCACGTTCCGCAATCAAAACCCTCAAAAGGCTCTATCCACATGGCTCGGGCAATTGACCAAATTCCTCAACACATCCCTTCTGTCGGGCCGTTGCCGCAACGATTGAGATTGTTAGAACCAAAGGTCGATATGCATGTCAGCAGCTGCAACCGGTCGCGATGCTCAAAGTCAGCTGGGCACTCCGCAGTAGTCGCTGCGCGCTCCGAATCTGGACCCAGTATTTTGCATCCCCGTGGTGGCGCTGCCACAAGCCTGAGAGGAGATGAGGAAAGGTGCAGCATTGATCTCAGTAGGTTGAGAAGAGGTACGATGCAACGTACGTTTTTCAGCTTGTCCCTCGACAGCTTCGGCAGGTCGAATTTTTGCGGGGCCAGGCTATACACACGCTGTCGGAAAGCAGTTCTTTGGACCCAGCAAAACCTGCAACTTAACTTCACACGAACTCGAGTTCTTTGTCTCCCCATCCTATGCAGTGCTTGTGCCGATCAAAGGTCGTCTGGATTCCCTCCATGATGCGCTGATGGAGTTCATCAATCTGCTCAGTGGTGGGATTCTCCACCTGGGGGACCTCAATTAATTTGCCTATGGCCATGGTGATTTGGACCCGGTATGGAATAGGCAGGAAACAGCGGCCCCAATAGAGGAAGAAGGATGCTTGCACTTTCCGCGAGATGGATTCCAGAATTCCCCAGCGGTCATACCAACACGAGAACGCAGCAGTGTTGCCGAAGGAGTAGACTGGGATCAGGGGCGTTCCTGTCCTCAAGGCCAGCCTTGCCAGGCCCTTTCGATCCTTCATAGCCACCAGCTCTCGGTGTTTGTTGGTCCGGAAGATGCCCGCGACGCCGTCCGGCAGGATGCCAACACACTGGCCGCGGCCAAGTGCTTTCACCATATCCTTCCGATCAGCCGTCACACAGCCATAGGCCATCAGGTAGCGGAGCCCAGGTGTTTTAAACACAACGTTGGCAGCCGCACCGACAAAGGGACAGCCGAGAGTCTCGTTGATCGCGGGAATGCCGAGCATGTTGGCGAATGGTAGCACACCATGAGGTGGCCCGACACCGATCCATGGCATGCTCTTGCGCGCGGTCTGAACGTCATCATCACACCACAGGAGGCGGTAAGAGAAGTACCTGAGCAGTCTGGACTCATGCAATCGATTGACCCAGAAAATCACCTGGCCAATCGAGCGCTCACACACCCGAGAACAAGCAAGTAGCAGCAGCACGACAGACTCATAAGGGCAAGATCAGGGTTTATTGAGGTGTATGCCCAAGATAACGAAGGCCGGTTTCGTCAAGTGGCTTGTTCATCCACTGCGTAAGCTTTGATTTCATCAGCTCCCGCGATAGCTTCGAACCGGGTGCCGGAAGAGGATGGACTGCAAGGGTCGTAGCCAGGAGCAAGAAAGCGGCCTCCAGAGCACACTGAACTGACTTACAAGTATCTCTTGCGTATTGGGTCGTCTGGATGCCTTCTCTCTCCAAGTTCCGACGAAGACTGCCGCCAATCCCGTAGTGACCAGGAAAAGCGGGCCACCCATGCACACCTGCGATCATGCAAATGAAGGCTTTGCCCAGTGACTTGCAAATGTAAACAACTGAGGAGGCACAAGCAAACAAAGCAAAGTGCTCAGCATGAGGGCGGACAACCTCACAGTTCCCACAGCAATTACCCCACAGCCATCCCGCCAGCATTGCAGCCATCACGGAAAGCTCCTCCGTCCACGAGATGGCCTCGGAAAGCGCAACTTCAGCGCAAGCCTCGTTCTTACAGCCGGCTCAAGCCTAAATTAGACTACATTCTATGCTGTACATGGATCCCCAAGGTTCTTACAACAAATGACTTCGCAATCAAAGTGCGGCAGCTGCAGGAATGTAGAAATGGCTATGCGGTCAGCGAGTGGCCGCAAAAACGAGACGCCAACTGCAGTGACCTAACCGCATCGTGTTGGGGGGGTCCCGGCCCCTCGGATGCCGCACGAGCCACGGAAGGCGTTGTCAAACACTTCGGCGGGAAACCTTCTGGCCCCGTGCTCTTTACGAGCTTCCTTGGCCAAGGAATCGTTTGTCCCAGCTAAATCGAACCATTCATTAAGCTTACGATGTTTGTTGGCAATCGCAGCCGAGGTCAAGTTCAGAATGCAAAGAAAAATATACAGTACAGCAAATTCGGTGTGAGTGTCTTCACCGCTTCTTGGCGCTCCTCCATGGACAGGCTGTACATTTCCTGCGGCGATGGACAGCTGCTGCGATTTTGAAGCTTACGCGCTGTGAAATACTGATAGCCCATGGCATGCCTGCACTGTACTCGCTACGCCGGCTCGGAATATGGTGTCATCTACGGCTCTCCTCCGGCAGGTTGAAGAGCTGAAGAACGTGATAAGATTTGGGTCCTAGGTGGCTGAAGGAATTCCAAGATCGTTGCCGCTTTCTCCAAACAAGTCGTCTGTCTGATCAACGCATGAGATGCGAATAAAGGATAAAGGGCCGTCGACACGGCAGCGCTCATCCGGCAAATGCTGCAGTTACGCATGTCTGTCAGGGAAGGCTTATGTTACTTGATCGCGGGTGCGAAGCCTACACGCTTCAACAGCTGCAGTCATTCGAAGTCGCCAGCCGTCGGTTCTCTCACTTTCTCTGCTGTGCCAGTCGTCGGTCAAGTTGTATGAAGTACGAAGTAGGTTGAATTTGTTGAAGCCCGGCCTGCAGGAGAGGACAGAAAGCCACAAATCCTGATACAGTGGTGATGATCACCGTGGCTTAACATGACAAGGGTAGTCCTTCGACACGGGATGCTGCAGGCACAGAAGTTAACAGTTAAGCCATAGGCGCTGTGTTCGACCATTTTGCTGGTTGCGCTGCTTATGTACAATGCACATCCAATAACATCCAATATCATCCACACATAACACCATCTGTCCTTACCGTGTCTGGACGCAGCCGAGGATCTACCATCATCGGCGACCGAGTCACCGCCCATGGCTGCCAAGTGCTGCCAATAGCAGGACAGGTCAGCGGAAAAGAGGTCTGTGACAGGTCTACCCTTGAAAGAGGCATCGCGAATCAGTCGCAGCATGCTGCCCGCGGGTTCTGGTCCCTTCTTTGATCTGGCTGTCTGCCTTCTCTTATTCCCCACACAACACCTCTCGAGCTGAGGCTCGGACAGTCGGCCGCACTTGTCACCGCCTGTGCACATGGCTTCCCTCAAGAACTGTCAGTGTTTTCCGCAGGAAAACATGCCGCACGGCACTTCCTCCGAGCCAGCCGATGGGCTGTCGTGGATGGACGCCATTGCAGGTGCTTCTGTGCCTCGAAGCTCGGGAGACGTGCTCGCATGGTCCTGATCTCTCTGCCTCAGAAAAGCCTCGAAGCGTGAGCGCCCGGCGAGCTCTCGGAGCTTTCCTAGTGTCGACCTACAGCTGCAACGGTCAGAATGGTAGCATAGCGCTGTGAGAGCGATCAGTTCCTTCTGCGAGATTGCGGTTCGTATTCTGCCAGCAGTTTGGAAATGGAGCTATTACAGTAGCTATTGCCCTGTCATCCGTTTCCCTGACATTGCAAAATTGAATGTCTATCGTGTTAGCACTAAACTCCATCTTGCAGGCCAGTGTTCTTGTCATGGGCGGAGTTACTTACTTAGACTCTTCATGAACACGCCTACACGATTTCGGGATGCACTCCTCAACCCTAACCCCTTTGGAATCAAACGTGAACGCTACGTCAAGGCTAGAGTTCCATTCCATGGCTGAGCTCTTTCACTCTTCCGCATGCCCTAGTTTCAAGACGTGGTTCTGTCACTGCTCCAAGCCATGACACCGCTCCTTGCACATCGAATGAGTCCACATGTGTCCATGGCAAGGCAAGCGAGCTCGAACATGCATGCTGATTCATGCTCAGTTCAGTCTGGCATGCCCAAAGACCTGTTTGGTGCTCAGATGCTGCAGGTGTCTTGTACGACGGGACATGTGAGGGGCCGACAAGCTTCTCTGACGAGCACGCGCGATGCCAAGGCCTACGACCTGAGGTGGCCGGCAAGTGTTACTTGCTACAGATCCCACGCAAAATTCACTCCCGAGCCGAGTCTGCCGAGTCCCGATCGAGGCGGCGTGCAGGGAGCGGGGCCCACGTCCAGCTCCGCCATGAAATGTCTGGAATCCAGTCCGGAATTTTTCAGGTGTCCGCAACGCATTTAACCGGTGCCCTACTCGTACAGTACTCAACAGGTGTACAGACATGCTGTGCGCCTGCAGTCGGCGAAGCCTTCCCCGCGAGGCTTTATCTGCCACTGCTTCGGGCCCCCATCTCCGACGGCACAGTGGTTTGAGAAGTCGCTCGATGAGTCTACAGACACATGTTTTCGGACAGACTATGCCGTGCTTATACTGACAAACTGCACTGCTACAATTATTTTGAAGTCATTGCAGTCATCGCTCACGGCAGTCTCTGCCTAAGACACGAGCGCGCTCATCACTTTGCTGTATCATCGATCGATGCGCTCAGCTGTGGAGTCGAATTTGAGCTGACGATGTGTCTGCCGCAGCTGTGCCCCAGGGTGTCGCAGCGTCGGTAGTTCTGCCAATGCTGAAACCACGCACTTGTCCATCGAGCACCAGGGTCGCTGTCGTTGTAGCCCCTGACGCGTCGCCAAGGGCGATGTCCGCCAAGGCAGCCAAGCCATACAGCGGCTGCGTCTATCCACGGTTGAAGGGGGGAGTTGCTCTCGCTGCAACTGCCTCCGATGTCCGTGTAAGGGCGCGACGGCAGAGTTGTGCTCACTCGATGCGGCTCAGATGTCTGCAGACAAGGCATAGCCACTGATCCACTGATCGCGGAGCGTCTCCAGCAACCAAGCATCCACTTCCCCCCACCTCAGATTTTCTCGGCCAAACCATCCCGTCACGATCGAAACCTGCGATGCGAGGACATGAGTTTGTGCGCAACTGGGTACTGGGTTTGGTGTTGTGAAACTTCCCAGCAGTCCCGGCCTCGGAGATGAGGGGAGCCCCACCATTGGGAAATATGTCGATGCGCAGGAAGTCAGCCCCCAGAGCCTTCTGCACAGGACTAACAGCCTCTTCGTAGCTGATGTCGCGAGTTCCGACCCTTTGTTTCTGATTCTTTAGTCTTCCTGTCGCCTCACTTTGTTGAAGCACTCCCTCCGATGACAAGCTTCAGGCAAGGATCACACTATGACATCTGACAACTCTAAGGCTAGCTGGAGAGTTCCCGTGGACAGAACAGGCCAAACCTGCACAGGATTTGGACCACAGAAATGAATGAGGTATGGGAGGTTGAGATGAGTGGAAGACCACGATCAGCCGCGGTCAGGTCGAGATGAGAAACCAGAGTGCCTTTCGATGAAAGTATCGAGCCAAAGTCAGCATGAAACGGGGGCGACCTGCCTGCAGTCGCACAAAAGCTTGTTCATTGTAAGAAGTCTGCTAAGCCAACGAATCAGTGTTTGCATTCTGCATGTAACAGCCGCAGATCTGACTTCCGAGATCTTCGAGACGAGACAATGGCGGCTCTCTGAAGTATATTCTAGATTTGTGAATAGCGCATGTGCATATTTCAGGCCTGCGCAGCTCTTTCTGCCAGGCTGACCACAGCTGAGCGTAGCTCGTGTCCCCAGGGCAAGCCCGTGCGGAATGCACCCCCTGCCTGCAGCGCAGTCAGATACTGACAACTTACAATGACATCTATGGCCACCGGTGGCTTGGCAAAGGTGTTAGCCACAGTTGCACGGTTCGTTCTGGCACTGTTCTGGTGAATATCATTGCGGCTTCGTTCGTGTGGAAAAGCATCAAGCGCTCGGCGAGTGCGTGCAAATCATGACAATACCAAGCCAGTACCGTGAATGCTTGTCGCTGCGGTACGACACTAGCACACAAGCATTGCCGGAACCTCGATCTGCTTCTGGGCTTTCATTGGCCGCGCGAAAATGGGTGTACCATCACCTGGGGATCGCGGTGCCCTGGCAACAGCTTTCCTAATCTCAAGCTCCATGTTGCAGACAGGCTCGCCTTTTCATTCAGCCATGGCACCAGCGAAATAGTTCAGCCAGGTGCCACCCGCTGCCATGACACCAAAGAACGAGAGGCGGCCCCAAGCAACGAAACAGAAAGCCTGGCAAAAGCCATGGTGAGACCAAGGAAAGCCGCTGCAAGCTGCATGAAGCCATCTCCAGAGGCCCTGCCACAACAACTCCAGGTGAAGGCCTCGTCGGGGAGAAGCCCACTGCGCCCATCCCATGTCACGGCAAGCCTAGATGAGTGCGAGATTTCACCAAAGTTGATGTCGGCAAGGGAAGTAAAAGCTTTCCTCAGAGATAAGCTCCGGACTCTTCCACGAGAAGGCCTTGCTTCACGCTGTCGTCTGCGACGGGCGCATTGGTGACGCAGCGAGTCTCGCCTGAACTCTATACTATACCAGCCCAACAGATTTGGCGCACCATAACACTACTTGCCCCTTTGCCCTATAGACCGTACTGAATTAAAAAAAAAACCTGCTCCGACAATGCCCGAGATTTTCCAGATAACCTCTCTATACCTTCCGGCCGCAGAGCACTCCGCAGAAGTGCTGGTGCACTCATCCCAGCAGCGAGGTGCTGAGGGCTGCTCCTGGTGATAGGACCACAAGTGTGTTTTCTTCAGGGCATATGTTCCAATACATGCACATTTAAGCTAGGCAACAAGCTCCGTCTGCTTGTTCTCCGACTTTCTCAAATCTCTGAAAAGGCACTGTGCACGAAGTAGTCTGAGTCTCCGACCTCCTTTTCAAAAGCTTTCGCTGCCCAGCGCACCACCTCGGCCTCGTCCATGTGTCGACCCGTGAGAAGGTCCCTGCCATCCCACGGTCCGATGTTGCACTTGCTGCTGCGTTCAAATTGAAACCCTATTGGCCTATGCCTTAGAATTCATGATCAAGGTCTTGTGCTAGGCATAGAATATGTGTCAACAAGTATTATACAGTAGTAGTAGTAGTAGT